ATCTGTGGATCTGGGAGGAGCCGGCAGTTGACTGAGGCAGGGATTATTGTGATGCAGAAGGAGAGCTCCCAGAGTGCCCGCTAGAGGATCTGTGTTCATTTGAGCTAGATGAGATAACTGGGTTTTTGTGGCCCTAGCATTTTCAAAGAATGGTCGTGCATTTGTCAAGCAAATCACAGATGACTGTGTTTGACAGATCCAATATTGCTTTGAGGATAAATGGTGAAAATAACAGCATAATAATGGAAAATGAAGACTTTATTTACTTAATTGCCTAGAGATTAATTAAACAGATGAAATCTGTTCCACCATATTATGGAACCGTTTTCCACATTTATCCTAAACATACTGTTGGGGTTATTACTACTTTCATTTGTGTGTTCATCTATCTACTCAGCTGATATTTAATAATTCAGAGCAGGAAGGCACAATGCTAGGCGCTAGTGGAAAAATAATTTAATCAGATCTAAATCCTATCTTTAAGGACAGTACAATAAAGAAGGAGAAAAAAATTGAGGTACACAGGTAATTGATGGTGGCATAAAACAAATTATGTATGAATCTAAGATCCATCTCTTTCTCACTCTGTACCAATGATTAGGCAATGTGCCATCTCAAAATTTTCATTTCCTCATCTGAAAAAAATTATACTGCCAATTTCAAAAAAGTTTGTTTAAGAATTAAGAGAGAGAACATATTAAATTAATAATAAAAGGGGCCTTTCCTGGAGGTCCAGTGGTTAGCACTCTGTGCTTCCACTACAGGGAGTGTGGGTTCGATTCCTGGTTGGGGAACTAAGATCCCACATGCCACATGGCCAAAAAAAGATGATAATAACATTTTTGGTTCATTAGATGCTCAATAAATATTACACTTAAAAAGTATTAGTTACACATAATGTGAGCTCTATATTGGTAAGAATTACATAGAGTTAGGTGTTGATGTATGCCTCTATTTGAAATGTTTACATGCATTTAGTTCTCATAAAAACAATGAGAAGGGTGCTAGTATCATATCCCCAGTGTGCAGATTAGAAAAATGCAATAAGAAGAGATTGAGTTAATTGCCTGTGATACCATGGCGACTAAGTGATGGAGCCAAGACTCTTACTCGGGGTGTCTGATTTCAAAATGCATGCTTTTAACTACCCCGCTGATATATACAAAGGAAGGGATATTTCAGCTTGGTTTGTGAAGGTTGCATTTCAGTCTCTAATGAGTGATTTTCAACTCTGACTGTACATCGTTATCACCCACGAGCATCTAAAAGCTATCGATTCCTGGATGATATTCCAGGGTAGTGGTTCTCAGAGTGTGTTCCCTGACCATCAACATCATATCTTTTATGTGTTTGCTAAGAATGCAAATTGTTGAGCCCTACCCCAGACCTCTCAAATACAAAACTCTGGGGGCTGAGCCCAACATCTGTTTTAATAAAAAGGTTCTGATGTATTTAAAATGTGAGAGGACTATTGCTCCAGACCAATGAAACCAGAATTTACAGGATTGGGACCTGTGCATTGGTATTCAATATTTTTAGAAAGTTTCTCATGGCATTATAATGTTTAGTCAAGATCAGGAGGCTTTCATGGAAAGTGGTATTGAGTTGTGCCATAGTGGGGAATATGCAGAGTGGGACAGAAGGAAAATTCCAGGTGGAGGGGCAGTTTGAGCCAAAATATCAAGGACGAGAATGTTGGTGGTGTGAGCTGGAGAAATGTGTTGAGACAAGATTATCTTGAAATTTAACAGTCTAGCAAATCAGTTTGTCAAGCATTTGTCCTTTGTCCCCTTAATACCTCCCTCATGCACATACCGATATCCAGTTTTCTTATTTCTGGGGAAGACTTTTCTCTAGAATTCACATCCACAAGGAGAGAAAAACACACCAGAGTTTAGATTTGTCACTTCCTCATGGCAGCCCATGTGCTGCAAAGAAGCTGTCCTGAAGTTCTAAACTGGATTTACAGCCAAGTGACACTGGCTAACTGTGTGTCTTTGGATAGTTGTGTGAAGCTCAGTTTTCTCATCTGCTTAGTGAAGGGGCTGAATGAGATCACGGTTTCACAGTTGTTGCACCCAACTCTCTTGGGCATGGCTGTCTGAGTGAGCCATTCCTGGTTTCTGATAAGTTCCTGTGTGATCTATTGTACATGTTAGAACTTGGAGACTGTGTATGAACAGAGAATTCAGTTGCTAAAAATAAGTTTGAAAGCCACTTGGCCTTTTCCAGGTACTTCCATGAGTAACATCTGCACTTCCGTCATAGCATCTCTGAGCATGTGGTTCAGACATAACTGTGAGCATGTGGTTCCAGGAGCCAGTTTCAGTTTCTTCCCTGAAGGCTTGGCTGTGGCTTCTTATGTCCTTTTGTCCCCTGTCTTCTTGGTTCTTGCTCAGATCAAGAAGAACTTTCAATTTTGGAGAAGAATCACTATCTTTCCCCTTTAGGGTTTCAAATGATCCTTGTGTGCTGATGCTGAGTTTGGTAACTGTTATAAAACTAAATATCCCCAGGAGGAAAGCACTTCACATGTTATTCAGGTCTGTGTAGATTTTTTTTTCTGTTTTCTCACCAGTTGAGCAATTTTCATGATAAAAAATGATCTGGGACATAGACAGGAAACTGAGATCTTGTTTGAGCCTAAGAAGTATTCTTTAGGACCCAAAAGTGAGCTCACGGTTTACTCGGGGCCTTATGAAGTTTTGCCTGAGTGAAAGTGTTGTAATCATTTATTCAAAACATATTTGTTGATGGTCTACCAAGGATATTACCAAGAATTAAAAAAAAAATAGAATCCTACTTCTTTGAAATTTGTATCTAAGTATGGAAGACATACAAGTGCAATTGCATAAGTGATGTGATTAAACCATGCAAAGCAGTGGTTCTAAGACTTGGCTGTGCATGGAAATCACCTCGGAGCTTTAAGACATGCAGACGACTTGATCCAACCCCAGAGGTTTTGATTTCATTGGTTTGGGGAGGGCTTCAGGCCTCCGGATATTCCAAGCCCCCCCCCCCCCCCCGCCCCCAGTGACTCTTACGAGCAGCCGAGTTTGAGAATCACCAAGGTAAGGAAGCAGATCAAATTCTTCAGTGAGATGAGGGATATTGCTGGAGGGAGAGGCCAACTAGCGTGAAGGAAGGGTGAGAGGTATCTGGGGAAGAAAAGGGGCGGGGAGAGAGCTGGATCCAAGGGCACTGCAGGCAGGAGGGATAGGAGTCAAGACAGCTGGGAGATGCTCTCGATGGAGAACTAAATCAGTCAGTCTGTCTAGTTCCAGCCTAGTTCCTGTGTGATCTTAGACACATGTCCATTGCTCTGTGCCACAGTTTCCCATTCACTCAAATATAGCTAATGATAACTGTTCTCCTTACCTCAAGTGTTTTGCTTTAAGGTCAAATGAGATGAGGAAAAATTAAAAGATAGTATATTGATGTTCATTAGGCAAAAATAAAGCACTAGAGTAAAAACCTCTTTCATTCAGCTTCTTTGGGGAAAGAACTGTTTCACGTAAGTGCGCTTTCTCTGTTGCTGAGCACAGGCTTTCTCCAGTTGCAGTGAGTGGGGGCTACTCTCTAGCTGCAGTGCTTGGGCTGCTTATTGCAGCGGCTTATGTTGTGGAGCACGGGCCCGAGGGCGTGGGGCTCAGTCGTTGTGGTGCACAGGCCTAGTTTCCTGGCAGCGTGTGGGATCCTCCCGGACCAGATTAAACTCCTGTTCCCCGCACTGACAGGTGGACTCTCAACCACTGGACCACCAGGGGAGCCCACATAAACGAACTTTTTAAGTAACTGAAATTTAGCCATTCAACACAATAATCATTAACAAAAATCATTTTATTTTTCCTAACATAGGTCATTTGCAGCCCTATTTTCTTAAACTGAGTTAACTGATGTCATTAGTCCCCTGCTTCCCATTTTCTCTGCCTGCAGCCTCTTGGCACAGATGTCAGATAGTGAACTGTGATATAATAACAGTTAGGGCCTTAGGATCAGAAGACGCATAGTAGATTTATGGTGTGGAAGGTTGAGTTTTGGGTTCTTCGGTCTGTTTTTCATGTTTGTCTTGCTATCTGGGTACCAGCTGTTGATTCTCATTGTTTTAAATTTGACTTTTCCTTTCTAACTTGCTGCCTCTTATCTATCCAGAACTGAAAAATCAGAAAACCAATCTTTGAATGAGATTGAAAATAAGAATAGAAAGACTAAGTGTCCAATTTTGCTGGACAGAGTGGGTTATGTGATGTCTTTAGTATATGAATGTTTTCATGTCTGTGTTGCCTTTCTAAGCTGACTTTCTGGGTCCTACTCTCACCTGGACACCTCATCTAAGACTGGGCTCTATATGTGGAAGGTTGGAGGCCCACAGGAATTGGATTGTAAAGATTCTCAGCCTTCCTTTTTCTGGCTGTTGACCATAGAATTCTAAGGCTCCCCATTCCTACCACCAGAATTGTGTCCTTGTCAGACCAGATATTGAATATTTGTTACCAAATATTTATTGTGTACAAGGTAGAGGTAAGGAAAAGTAGATAGGTCCAAACTCAGGAAGGCAGGAGTGTCTGGAAGCAAACAGCCAGAAGGGAGGTTTAACCACTTTCCCCAGGGAGAAGAAAGTGGTATGGAATATAGCACCTCGGGAAGAAAGGAAGTGATAAAAGTAATCAGGTTCGAGATGGTAGAGGGTCAGTGACAGAGGTTTAGACCAGCTTTACTACGGGGTACATTATTCTGTGCTCTTTTTGTTTCTGTGTTTTTGAGAGCTTCTGACTCCCTGGCAGTGCTCCAGGACGCCTGAGTTGTAACCATTACAGGCGGCAGCTGCCAGAGGCAACCACTCTACAGGGCCCGCCAGTCACCATGTTCTGTGGGTCCTCATGGAGAAGACAGGCCTCCTTCAGAAAGTAGCGTTCTGAATACTAACCCTGAATGCCTCCCCACCTTGTTGTCTGCTGTCCTTGTGGTCACGGAGCTTCTGACTCTCCTTTCCTCCCCAGGTCAGTGGCCGGACTGGATAAGGAGGCAGACCTGGTGCACATGGAGGTGCGGACAGCCGACGGACGTGAGTGCTGTGGCCCCAGGCTGGGCGGGGCCTCTGCCTGCGGGCCTCCCCTCCACGCCCCGCCCCCGCCAATTTGCATTTTAATGACTTGGGGAGTTGAAAAGCCCTGAGCTCCCTTACTGCCATATCCATCTTTATTTCCTAGAGTGGGGGAGAGGCCTTCAGTCCCAGGGGAGACCTTTCATTGAAATAAACTCTCAGGAATGAATTTTCTGCGCATGGGAGTTAATGTGATGAATTTTGAGGCTCCTGTTTTCCTGGCATCTTCAGTGTAATTCGAATAGGAATGTCCATAGCTCATCGTGGTATTTTGCATTCATGTGGTGAATTGCAGGGACTGCAAGCTTTAAAAAAACTAAACCTTTACATAGTCAAGATTACAAAAAAAATGTAACTGGAAAAATTATTTTCCAAACTATTTGTTCATCCGTTCAGCAAATATTTAGGGATGGCCTACTGTGTGCCAGGCAAGTTTCTCAGCCCTGGAAAATACCATGCTGGGCAAGACCTCTATTGTCCCTGAAAATTAGCAATTGAATCCAGGATTTCACACCTGTGACCCCTTTGTACATCATGCAGCTATATGCATCTTAAACAGAATTTGACTGATAAAGTATCATTTTGCACCAACTTAAGACTAAACTGAAACTGAAAGTATCCATAGGGCCCTTTCCTGTCCAATAAAAAAAAAAAAAGATCAACTTAAAATGTATTAAAATTGTGAATATGTATGATATACATGAAATATGTAAAATACATGAAAACTAATTAGCATAGTCTAGGTCATAAATAGACCCAAATAATCCATGAAAATAACAGTGACCTACCAGTGCAGCAGATCAAAGTACCATACTGTGTGCTGAGGCCCTGGATTCTGCCACCCATTAGCTATGAGACCAAGACCCCCTAACCTCTTTGTTCTCCGGCTCCCTATTATCTGGGGGCAGTTATCCTTGCCCTGCTCACCTCAGGGTCATGGGTTGAATGTCCAAACATAAGGAGATTGTGTTTGGCCTGTATGCTGACATTAGGGTATCATTCAGGATACATCACATAAAGAAGCCACATGAGCTGTGTCCTTGGGAAATCTACTGCTTTTGAAGCCAAACACAGATGTATGATAGAAACATGTACTTTGGGGAATATATTTTATTTGCTTTACTTTTATTTTTAAAAGAGTTAGAAGGCAATTGACATGTTACTCTATGCCTGTCAGTCTACTGAATTCCTTCCTTCCTGCCTGCCTTTCTTCCTTTTTCTTTTTTGATTCTTGAATAAATATAAGTCTCTGAAGCATCCAAGAGTGAGGGATGACCCACACTCTTTGTACATTTTTTTTTAACAGAAGAGCTATTTAAGATTTAGGGAGATAATGCCACATATTCAAATTCAGTGATCATAAGTGTGGTGAAACCTGAATTCTAAATTACTCTTACGGCTGAGGAGAAAAAAACAATAACAAAAAAACAAAACAAAACGGGAACACTGGAGGAAGGATGAGATGCAGGGAGTTGAAGGGGTATAGTAGAGGAGCCAGAGGGAAGAAGACAGCAGCTCTCAGATGATGAACCACAGACCAGTTTTCAGGACAAACCCAGCCCTGGCCTTGATTGCATGTCAGCCTGTTTAAGCCGTATATGTGATCTGTGGTATCTGCCTGAGTGGCCTTCTACCTGATACAGGAATCCCTTCTCCAACAACCGCTTCTAGTGTGTCCTCAGTTTCCGTGAGCTCAGGCTTAACACATACCCTTTTCTGTTGATGGGAAACTCCCTTTTTAAAAAAAGTAATTTCTTACATTAAGCTTAAACTTATTTTCTGAAAGGTCAAGAATTCTGGTCCACATTAGAATAAGGCCTATAGTGCAGGATTGCAGTGAAATTTTGTAAGATTAAAAATGTAAAACATAGAAAAGTTCCTGGCCTATTGTCAAAAATCGAAAAAAGCAGAGTCGACTTAAAAAATAGTCACAACCTAAAGTTGAGAGTTATGTTTTATTCAGTGGAAATTTTTAGGACTTCAAGCCTGGGAGACAGCATCTAAAATAACCCTGAGAGAGCTGATCTGAGGAGGTGGGGGGAGTAGTCAGGTTATATAGAATTTTGCAGCAGAGGGCAGGTAGTCTGAACATCAGAAGTATTTTGTGAATTAAAGAAAAGCCAGATATCCCAAATTAAAGAATATAGCACTTTTCTTCATATGGGAAGATGCAAGAGTCTGGGCTCACTGAAATCATTCCTTTCATATCTGGGGCCAGTATCCTGTGTTTTTCACATCCTGAGTTTCTCAGTGCTCACCATAGGAGTGGCTGCAGCCTGGTGCCTGCCAGATCACAGGTATTCTCCTCCATCCTAAGTACTTTTAGGGCTCAGGAATTCACATTCGGAGGGCCGGAATTGCTGATGATGTGAAATCATTGTGTATTGATATAGCAGGAAACATTCCATTTCTCAGCAGACAGAAATATAAACAGGGATAAATGTCATGTGCCACACTTATGTTAAAATATATATAGTATATATTAATTCTGTGTGATTTTTTTAGGTTTTATAAAATCAATTTTTCAACAGTTCCAAGAATCTTTATTTCAACCCAGTGAATTGACCCTAACCACCCCTTTATTTAGAAAGTGCACATAAGACTGAGCTGAACTGGGAATGTTTTATTTTGCATACACTAATGAAATGCATGGTTTCTTTCTTCTTTGATGTGTGGTGAATGCTTTCTTACACACTCATGCATACACATACATCTCTATCTTTTTGATCATTGCAACATGGAACAAAATATATTTTATTTCCTTCCGCCTCATCCCGATGTGGTAATTTAAACTTGAATTTGACTTAGACTTGAGTTTCACCAAATTCACATGGGTAGCCTAGTGATAGAATAAAAACATGAACACAAAACTCTCAACACACTACAAATGAAAGAGAACTTCTAATAAAGATCAACTATGAAATATCTAATGCTAACATCATATTTAATAATGAGATGTTGAATGCTTCCCCTCATAAGTGTAGGAAAAAGTCAGGGATGTTTACTGTTAACTCCTCTTTTCAATATTATGCTGAAAGTCCAGTCAGTGCATGAAAAGTAGGAAAATGAAATGTAATTCATATAGATTACAAAGGAAAAAACTGAACTGTTATTATTCTCATTGACATGATTCTCTTTATAGAATATCACAAGGAATCTGGGGGGGGAAAGCTTCTAGAAAAAATATGGAAAGCAGGGTTATAGGATACAAAACATTCAGTGGAGAGAGGATGATAATTTTTAATGAATGGCTTTGGAAAAGTTTGGGCAACCATATGGGAAAAACAAACCTTTACCTGTGATTTACAACTTACACAAAATCTAACTCAAAATGGATCATATTTCTAAATGTAGAATATAAAATTATAAAGCTTTTGGAAGAATATAGAGGAGAAAATCTTTTCGACCTTAGATTGACACCAAGAGCAAAATTGATAAAAGATTGATAAATTAGACTGCATCAAAATTTTTAAAAAATTGTTCTTCAGAAGACACAGTGAAGACAGTGGGAGAAATTATCTGTAGGTCGTATAACTAACAGAGGGCTTCTACCCAGAGCACATAAAGAACTTCTAAAACATAGGAATAAGAAACAACCCATTAAAAAATAGGAAAAAGGTTGAACAGAACATTTACCAAGGAAAACATAAAGGTGACAAATAAACACAACTATTTGTGTTTGCATATTAAATAATATCTAGATCGCTTGAGTCCTTTTGTAATTCATGTATTTAAAAGAATAATTTCTCTAAGAATCTTAAATCAGGCAAAATAGTGGATCTTAGATAATTATTTTTTTTATTCCTCAGATTTTCCTTCATTATTCCACTTCTTTTGGCATATTGTAAAGTCTATTCATTAATCAGCCTGTTTCAGACCCTTAACCCTATGTTATACATTTGCCAATTGCTATTTTGAAAATTATAGTCAAAGGGATCTCAAGCAGTGAATTCTATTTCTCTTCATCTTCCTGCATCTCTGTTCACATGGCCATTTTGCTCAACAGGTAGCATTCAGGACCATCCTCTGGTGAGCAGTTTTCATTGCAGATTCCTGGGGTCCCCCCAGAGGTTCTGGCTTAGAGGATTTGGAGACCTGGGAGTCTCCATATTATGAAGCACACACTCCCAACGTGATTTTCATCCAGGTGCCTCTTCAGGAACACTGCTGTGTGGCTCCTGTACCTTGCACGGTATTGAAGTCAGAGCCCAGGGACAGCTGTCCTCAGTAAGCACGGAGACGGAGCCTTGGTACTGGGGTCGGGAAGTACTCTGCTCTCTAGCACCTGCAGAGCAGCACGGCAGAAGTGACTGAGCACAGCACAGCGTCTGCACGCGTGTGTCCGTTGGACGGCACTGCCCCGGAATGAAGGGGCTGCAGGTGTGGCCTGAGGGCGTGCGGCTCTTCAGTGCTGTGGTGTGGCACTGACAATCCTGTTTCTAAACTTGGCCCCACGCCCTGGAACAAATGCAACATGAATAGGCCCCTTTTCTTTTTTTGCTGTAAGAATCTCCACTCTTCCCCAGTCCTGGTCCTCCTCTTTGGCAGTCAGATTTCCAGATTAAACTAAAACCGATGAATTCTTTCTTGCCTTGGCACAGTTTAAACAGGGCAAAGCCAATCAATTTGGTTAATAACAGTGTGAAACCTTTTTCTGCTGTGAGATTAAAGATTCAAATGGCTTTTTCTCCCATTCTCTTCTGGAAATCATCTCTCTCTGAATGTCATCAATGTCCCCTGTGAATACTCCTATTCATATTCTCCTTCTCTTTCTTTCTCCTTCACTCACTTACTCAGTCACATACACATTCTCCATCCAGGAGACAACTGAGTGTCAATAGATTGTTAATGTGGTGTGCTAAGAATTAGGGCTTCCCTGCTGGCTCAGCTGGTAAAGAATCTGCCTGCAATGCGGGAGACCTGGGTTCGATCCCTGGGTTGGGAAGATCCCCTGGAGGAGG